TGTTGTTTGTGAAAAAAAAAAAATATATATATATATATATATATATATATATATATATATATATATATATATATATTCTTAATATCCAAGTATGCATGTGAAAATACCATAGTGCTTACAAGAGAATAACCAAAAGTAAAGCCTTTATTGAGAAATATGATGTGCACTTTTGACAATCGAACCAATGAAAATCACATATTCCACCGTTATAATTAATACTAATTGAGTTAAATATAAATGAACTTAAAGTCCTTTTTAATGGGATTGTGGATAGCTAAACTATCTTATATGCTTGACACGTGTCCTTTAAAATTTTAAATTGAACAATATGTATGCATATATATTATCATTATGTAGTGTTTACGCATGTGGGAAAATGATATTATTAAATTGGACGTCGTTTTCATGTGGACAACGCGTGTGCTTTTTTTGCATTTTCAAACTTTTGATGGAAAAGAAGGTCCATAGTATCAAATATCTATTCATCAAATCAGCTTTGCTCTTAAGCTGTTCCCCTTGTTTTTTTTTTTAAATATTTATCTAAACAAATTCATCCTAATTAATAGGAAAATCACACATTCCCTCTTAATTATATATCCATATTACTCGTTTTTATATCAGTTTATATATAACAAATTTACGTTGTATGTCGAATTAGTAGTCATAAACAATTCAAATATTAATAGATAGAAGTATGAGATTCTTTTTCGCCACGGATTAATAGTATAATTTGCAGGAAAAGAAACTTTTATTTTAGATAGATAAAACAGAAATAATTAATTTAGAAGGGCGTTTTAATACTATAAAAATTGCATGATTTCTTTATGAACCCATATTAGATCCAATGCATAGTTATAACATCCAATAAACAAAAAAAATATATTTGTGATTTATTTTTTTTATTTATTTCCCCATTACCAATCAATTTAATAAATAGTATATTTTTTAAAAATGGGCACAAAACTTTGTGTTTTTTCTCCTTTCCCCGTGTTATCTCAATAGAACCGTTGTGTTATATGTCTTTCAAGAAAAACAAAAGTGTAAGAAAAGGACATTTGGAAGCCATGAGAGGGAATATGGTTTAAAAGGCAAGCAGTGCCCTCGGCTTCAATGTCACTCTTGCTGCAATATCGATCATTTTCTTATTGAAATTATTAATATTCGAAGTTATTAAATTTCTCGATTTACAAAAAGAAAAAATGGGTTAAATACATTCTATTAGTATTTTTTTTATTCTTCGGTTGGTTGTTTATATTCGCATTCTTTTTGCTTTGTGTTTTTTTTTTAAATTTTTTTTATCTAATGATTACAATTTTCCGTTTGGAATATGAACAATAAAAAAAATTTTCCGACTGTCCGAAATTCAATACAACTCTCCTCCTTTCCCATTTTTTCCTCTCAAACTTGATTAGATTTTGCTGCCATCTCTGAATAAACTTTCGTCGCGGATATATTAGAAAAGGAAATTAAAAAAAAAATAGAAAAATTACTAAATCAGAAAATAAAAATCGCCAAAATAAAAAAAAATACATTACTAAATTAGAGAATATAAAAACGACTTCCATAAATGTAGGGCTTAATTTAGGACAACTCAGTCAAAGCGTCAAGAAGCACGCAACGGGAATTAGGTCAAACTCTTTTACCGGTCAAAACAGTCTCCCAAAGGTGGGACCCATTTTCCTACCATGTCACCAGCATCCTCCACGTGGTTTCTCTTAAACTTGCCACGTCATGTAAAGATGAACTCGAGGCTCAGCACGTTCAACGGAAACTGCCACGCTGGCGCATCTGAAGCTTATACAATGTCAATATTATATATACGTACACACACACGGAGACACACGCAGCAGTTTATGCATTTTAGATATAAAAAAAAAAACACGCAGTTATATTTATACGTATATACACACAACCAAAAGTATATATATACACACACATTATGGTTACGTGAACTTCCCATAACCTCCATTTTCTTAGATGAAGCTGTAAGAATTTTCTCTCTTTCTCTGTCCAAACAGAAAATCTACATTCTGTTAGGTCTTTTCGTTTTTGTTTTTCAGTTTTGTTTTTTATATGTCTCTTTCTCCAATATCATTTGATTATTTTCGATGAATCTTTTATATTCAGACAACGTTTTCACTCCTCCCAGATTCGGCATAGCAATAAAGGAGAGTAATTTTCTGTTTTCCGGGGAAATCTCCCTTCTTCTTCTCTCTCTCCATTTTCCCGGAAAGTTTCGGCGTTGGAGCTGAGGACAAGACGTGCTGCATGCAGGAGATGGTTTCGTCTCAGGATCAACTCTCAATCGTAATCTCGAACCTCCTTTTTCCTCGTTAATTTCCTAGTTTCTTCTCCACTATCCCGTTATATTTTATTGCATGCATGTGTCTATATATATATCTAATGTCGATGTGTCTTCCTGAATGTTGTTCGGTAATTTATTTTAGATGTTAATTATGGATTCAAGACATGTGTGAATAGCTTTTAAAAGATGTCGTAATTAATTTTGTAATTTATCACATAAATAGGGAAGTTCTACCATCATACTCTCATTAATTTGTAAAAGCCTTACAAAAAAAATATATATTACAGAAATAGAAGATTTGTCCTTTCGCCATTAGATTATCTAGCGTTGAGTTCTGCATGTTCATGGCTTTTCTTAACGTGTTTGATGCATGAGAAAATATCCATATATATATATATATATATATATATATATATTTATAAGTGAGTGTTTTTTTTTTGTCTGGATTTAGTTTATAATTCAATACTCTCTCGTAGTTATGCGGTCGTCAAAATTTTCGTGATATTTCCTATTGATTTCTTTCTGGTGTAATGTCATTTTCCATTTTATCTCTTTTTCTGTAATTGCTTTCATTCGTTTTGCTTGCTTTCTTTGGATATATCTACTTATATTCTAAAACTCATAATAATTAAAATATATAATATACATTATTAGATTCGTTTAGGACAAAAACGCTCCGTACGGTGTTATACTTTTTAGCCAATCACAGATCGTCACAAGATACGACACCGATCTCGCACAACACAACACAACCCTCTTCCTGTTCTTATTTATTTATTTTTTGTTGGGTTTCTCATAAAAAAAATTCTAGATGTTGTGCGTGTTTTTTTTTTTAACAAAACTAAAGCAAATCCCTAAATCCGAAAACTTTCCATTTATAGAAATTCCACTCTTCAGCTCTCTTTGCTTGGTGTAAATGGCACTTCTGAATTACATGCCACGTGAAAGCGCATATGCATATTATCTCTTTGCCCAAAAACCGAAATTAAAAAGACATCCGATCCATGAAAGGAGATGTGATGTCTTTGATGTCGAAAAACAGAATAAATGATGCATATTGTGTCCTGTAAGTAAATATACGTCCTTCTCTCTAGATTCTCTCTAGCTAGAGATCTACAGAGAAATCGAGCCGTTATAAATACGTATGGTTTGAAAACCACTGTCTCTATAGAAAACCCAGTTTCTTGTTTCGCAAGTAAACCAGAGAGCTGTTTTGATGCAAGCTGTTAACGTATGTCTCCAAGATCTTTGCTTTTTTCTCTCTTCATGTTTTTTTGCTGTTTGATCATTTCCTTTGATTTGTCGTTTCTTACATATATATATATATATATGTATGTATATATATACATGTGCAGGATGAGATTACGAGCCCTCTCAGCGCTCAGATCTTCGATTTCTACGATCCGCAGTTGTTTCAAGAACCGTTCCAGACTTCTGAAGTTTACGACGAGAACTCGCTGTTCTCAGACAACAACAACAACAACAACAACAATCTTCTTGAGAAATCCGGGAGCTTTGATGGAAAAGAAACCTCGAACGCGAAAACAACAACGGCAACTATGGTGGGCGAAACGGAGAACGTTAACGTTGAAGACAACAACGGGTGTCTGTCTGTAATTTTCGATTCGCAGGAAGATTTCGACAACGATATCGCTGCTTCTATCGATTTCTCATCCTCACCTCTGCAGTTCCCTGTGTCTGATCATCTTCTTGGATCAATATGTCAAGGCCAGTTCGATTTCTCGGTTCAACAGTCTCCCAACATTCTTTACGCCGCCTCTGGAGATCCTCTGACTCTGACAGCGGCTTCTTCTTCCTTGGCGCCGCCTCCCTTGCAATCAGCGGTTTTCGAGGAAGATTGCCTTTCTTCCATCCCAAGTTACAATGTTGGGCTCAACCCTTCATCCCCATCTTGCTCTTTCTTCGGCACGCCTGGCTTGCCTGCTTACATGGCCGCTTCTGGGGGGAATCTGAGTTCTGGTTTATCATCGGAAAGTTCTGGAATTTTCTCAGGGAGTGTTCATCTGGGTCCTGAACTCAAGCCACTTGATCCATTGATGGATTACCAGTCTGATAATGGCGGGATTTTCTGCCATGATTCGATCAAACGTATCTTCAATCCTGGAGATCTCCAGGTAAAAAATATCAGAAAAACTTAAGTTTTTTCTCGGGAATCTGCAGCTCTATCTTTCCTTCTTCCATTTGGGTAAACTGGCCAAACCAAGAACCGTACTTCTCCGTCTGGTTTTCACTTTTGACACTTACCGGTTCATTTCGGTTCTGTTTAGACACTCGGCGGCGGAGAGAACCAGACCCACCTGGTGACGGCGGCGGGTGGGGCGCCACCACCGTCGTTAGGGATGGAGATGACCGGTCTGGACGATCCGACGTTCAACAAAGTCGGGAAACTATCCGTCGAGCAGAGGAAAGAGAAGATCCACAGGTACATGAAGAAAAGGAACGAGAGAAACTTCAGCAAGAAAATCAAGGTAGATCCGCCTCTCTTCTCGAGCCCCTAATCCTACCGTACCAAACGGTTCAATAACCAGAACCGAACCGAACCAAATCGAATCGAAATTATATAACATCAGTGTTTTTTTTTTTTGGTTTGGATGGTTAAGTATGCGTGTCGGAAGACATTAGCAGATAGCCGACCAAGAGTCAGGGGAAGATTTGCCAAAAACGATGAATTTGGAGAAGCCAATAGACAAGCTTCTTCAAGCCACCATGAAGACGACGACGACGACGACGATGTAAGAAGCTTCCTCAATCAAAGCCTTTGACCTCGGAATTCGATTCTTTTTTCTTCTTTACTAACCGTTAATAAAAATCCGTATCTCAACCGGTAAAATTGGTTCGGTTTGATTTGGTTTTGGGATGCGGCGTTTTATTTTTTGCAGGTGGGGATGAAGGAAGAGGAGCAGATGGTGGATTCCTCGGACATATTCTCGCATATAAGCGGCGTGAACTCCTTCAAGTGCAACTTCCCAATCCAATCTTGGATTTAACAAGTCACTCCTACAGCCTCTACATACATACATACATATATATATATAATATACACAAATAAATAGTATTCCATAGGGTTATATTTGTATCTATTTTAGTGCAATTTTGGCAAATGACGCAGATTCCATCGGAATTAACCCTCATTGGAAATCCCGTGGAAAAGGGGAAAACAATGATGGTGTTTCCGCATGTTTGGATGAATAATGCAGTGGCGTTCGAGGTTATACTTTCATAGAAAATGCAAAACATTTTGTTGGTGTATGTGTATATATATATAATATATGGATGATAAGTTATTTTGGGCAACAATTTGGATTATGGGCCTAATATTCAGGCCCATAAAACGTGTGGTTTCACGTACATCAAGTGTTATATATATATATATACAAGATACGACACCGATCTTCTAAACATTCTACCCATAACATTCTCTTTAATTTTCTCTACATTTACATTTGGGTATAAATATTAATATAATTGTTTTCTTTGCCATGCATGATTTTAAGTTGAGATATATTTGGGTATAATTATGAGTGAAATTTGATATGTACTTCCATCATTTTCCACTATTATACAAATCGTCGATGAATTTTAAAAAATGGTAGCATAATTGTTAGTGAAATTTGTGTTTATGGTCTTTAAAACCGAATAACAATGAACATATGAATCATACGGTCCAAGAAATGCAAGAATATCTCTAATTACAGTATAAGAAGGTCCAAGAAATACAAGAATATCTCTAATTACAGTATAAGAAACCCCTTTTATTCCCCTCGAATTTTAATTTTATCAATAGAGCAAGAAAGAATCCATCAATTAATTAATTAATTACAAAAAAAAATATCTAAATGGAGTTTTTAGTTAATGTCGCACTCTTCCCTCCATTTTCGCCAAAAGTGGGCCCCTCCCTCTCTCTCTCCCACACTCGGTTTCTTTCTCTACTCTCTCTCTCCCTCTCTCTCTCTCTCTCTCTCTCTCTCTCTCTCTCTCTCTCTCTCTCACACACACACACACACAGACATCGTGGGCGACAGCTAACTCGCCTCATCCATGGCCCATAAAATTTACGAAACCCTAAATCGAGTCCGATGAGGAAAACACACGGGTGGGCCCTACATTGAAAGAGGAAGACCGAGAAAACGTCCTCTCTCTCTCGTGACTCAGTGGCTGTAGCCATAGAAAAAAACAATTGTCACTTTTCCTCCGTTCCACAGACATGAACGTGGCTTACAACACCATTCTGTGTTTCTCTGTCTTTATCTCTCGCCCTTTCTTTCTCACCGCTTCCGACTTCTCTCTCTCTAGAAACCCAGAAATCTCGCTTCCAAGGTTTCATTTCTTTGGGGAAAGGAAATCTTCCAGAATCGGTGGAGCGGTTTTCCGTTTTTTTGGCTTGGATTTTCTTCTTAAAGCAAATATTTTGCTGGTTCAGGTAAGAGAGTGATATGGAATTATCAAGTATTCAATATTTGTTTATGCTTCACATGTTCTTGTGATGATTCTCTTGTAAATTAGCTTCTGGGTCATGTTTATTGGATCGATATCTGGTATTTTCCCTCAAGCTCGAAGCCGAAGTTGCTATCTTTAGTTGTTTTGAACTCGATTCCGATTACATTATAGCAAAAAGAAATTGCCTTTGGAGGTTACTAGAGAGAGAGAGATAGAGTTCCACTTCCAGTTCAATCCTCGTACGATTGGTTCTTTGTTCCATGCAGTGAACTGGGCAGTTGTAAACTGTTTCTTTTGAGCTTAAAAATCCATCGTGATATTGGTTTGTCGGTATATGTCTAAAATCGTAAGCTTTTTTAGCAAATTAGGACTCAAAGTTTGGATTTTGTCGGAACAATAGATTCAGAGCACCTTTTTATTTGGTTCCACGCTTTTGATTTTAACGTTCGTTGTGGTTCTTGATGCATTTGGTTTTCAAATTCGTGATGGCAACACAAGGATGGAATTTTTGCCCTCATGCTTCCTAAATTTAGGTAAAATGTGTATCTTATTAAAAAAAAAAAAAAATTGGAGAATTTTGGGATTATGTTGTTCAAGTCTGTCTTTTTCCACCATTTAGAATTCTGAATTGTTGTTGTTGTTGTTTTTGTAGTAATTTGTTTGAAGGAGAGCTTTTGGATCGATTTGGAAGAGTTGTTGTTGCGTGTAAGCTGGAATTGGATTGTCGGAGACAACGAGATGGGAGATTGAATTTCTCAGCTTTGATTTCAAGTTAGCTAAGCTAACGATGGGGAACGATGATTTTGATGCTCAAAGAGATGATCCCGGGCAAGAAGATCCGCTTCTGAAGATGAACAATGTCAAAAATCTGTCTGGTAAAGACGGCTTATTGAAGTTGCAGAACTCCTCGAGCCAGCAGAATACGTCAGTTTCGAGTAACGGAAAGTGGTTACAGATTGTTAAAAACGGTCACAGAGGCTCACTTCTCCACGTGACTCGTATTATCGATAGAAAGATCCCGAGGCACATAGTGTCACTAGACGAGAAGTATCTTCGTCGGTGCCTTGAGCTGATTCATATCAGTGCTTCAAAGTCGGCAAGTTGCAGCCTTTCTGTAAACTTTGTAGGATCCGTAAAGACGGGCATCTCGTATTATCACTTGGATTCACCAGTGATACCATTGGCAGATGGCTCGGGGAGTACAGTCATCAGTCCCGCAGTTGCAGATTACAACAGGATTCTTGATAAGCCTCTGTTACACAAGTTGGGAGCTTTGGATATTTATCCTAGTAGCACGGTAAGGCGAAAGGATGAGGTAAAAGGGTCGGTCTCACGTGAAATTTCTAGCTCCCCGAGTCATTTTCAGTTGCGGGATTCCCATTTTTGGGGTTATCAATCTGTATCGAGCTCATACTCGACTTGTTTGTCTTCTGAGCTTTCGTCCTCATCTGTGTCTACAACTGTTTCTCAGGGAACTCTTTGTGTCACTATGAATGAGAACGGGTTTCCTCGTTTTGTTTTCTCGTTGGATGATCGAAAACCGATATTGGTGGCCAGCTTGAGTAACAGTGAAGCGGGTTTTGACAGCGATGATCTAGAGTACACATACTTGATTCATCTGCGGAAAGGCAACGGCCATGAATGGCATCTGGTTGGTAAAATAAAGGTGTCTACTTTGTTCTCTGTTTCATCGTCTTCAAACAGCAGAATCATGGAGAGAGAATTTGTTCTTTTCAGCCACTGTGGGGATCTGCAAATGCAGTGCCATGATGCAAGGAAAGCCAAAGGATTACCCGAGAAAGTTGTTGACGCGTTCAGAAACACTTGGGCTTCCAGGCAAAAGAGTATCTCGACATTCAGCAGAGCAAGCTCCATACCCGAATTCTGTTCTCGGGAGACATCTCAAGAGCCAAACTATGATCTTGAGCACGCAAATCTGCTGGAAAACGATCTTCCACCGAATCTTGAATCATCAGCCATTGTTGTGAAAGAACAGATCCAGGAGGAAACTGGAGGATGGGGCATGAAATTCTTCAAGAAAACGTCCTTACCTTCGACGAGCATGGATGTTATCATTCCTTCAGGGATTCATGGGGGGCCGAGAAAGAAGAACGGAGGAGGAGGGCCATCGAGTTTGATCAAGAGGTGGAGATCCGGTGGAGTCTGTGACTGCGGTGGATGGGACATGGGTTGTCCGTTAACAGTTCTTAAAGGGCAACCAAGAAGAGACCAAAGCGAAGGTCAATGCAATCTCTTCGAGTTCTTCACAGAGGTACCCTTCTAAATCCCTGAATCTTAAGAAGAAACTTTCAGATGGGTATGGAGAAACCTCGAGTAAAAAGAGGAAACTTTCAATGTGATTGAATTTTTATGTGGTTCTTGGGCTGAGATTTCAGGGATCCAAGCAGGGGAAACCAGGAGTAAGGATCGTGAAGAATGTTCAAGATGGCATGTACTTCGTTCAATTCCAACAGAAGATATCGATTTTGCAGTCTTTTTCCATTGCAATTGCATACATCCATAGCCAGAGCAATGAAGTGTGCAGAAGCTTTAGTTTGCAAAAGAGGTTTTAGCCTTTTAGGAGAAAGATGGGGCAACTTCTTCCTCTTTGTGTTATATATTTTGATGATTTTGCTTTAGTTTATATATGTATTTTCTGTGTACATTTGTCATTCGATTTCTGGCGAAAACCTTTACACCAAAATGTAAAATGGTGGGAGAATGATACAGAGATTGAACTCAACAGAAAGAGAAAATTATGATTACTGCTACCAAAAAATCTGCAGTTTCAACAGTGTTGATCGTTTAGACGATGGAATTGGCAGTGATTGCAATCCTCAGCCAGAGATCTGCACACTCCTTTCCGATGGGTCTAGAGACGGCGAAACCTGCATAGCAACCATCATCTTTGATGTAAGAACAACAAACCAATAACAGTTGACTAAGTTGTGTAATAATGCCAAGATGCAGTGATTGTGACACTGTCACTGATTCAGATCAAAACCCATCAACGAAATGTTCCAAAACGTACTGGGTTTCTGTCCAAACTTCACCAGTGTCGTGACAATTCAACATTTTGGTTTGTTCATGTCGTTGTCATCTGTCGGCATCAAGGACAAGAGAAGAAGATGAGGCTATTCCGACCACATGGTCTTCTCTTCAGACAACTTGACATTGTTGCGGACTGCGAATCACCGATGACTTTGAAAATTTGGCATCCCCAAGTGATAATACTCGATGGATTTCGCATATGTCAGTTCTAAAAGCTGCAGGGACCTCAAAAACCTTTCCTTTTAGCTTTCTCGAGATCCAAACACAGAACAAGAAGACAGTAATCAAAATCGAAGAAGACAACGCAAGAGACATGATCAATGTATGATCGGATAAAACTCATGCTCCGCTTCAACATTTCGGATGGCCTGAGAGAAAATCAGAAGGAAAGTTCAACCATTTCCGACCTATGTTTACAGTTACAGAGACGCAGGTTAGGGTTTTTGAGTTCGTCGACCGAAGAAGAAGGGGGAGGGAATTAGGTTTAAGCCCAAACCCACAACAACGGCCCATGAGAAGCCCATAAATTTGATGCAAACAAAATGAATGGAACCCATGTAAACCGGTCTTAACCAAAATAACCGGCCGAAATTTGGCGATTCGGATAAAAGCCGGTCTTACGAACCCATTTGGGGGTCTTTTTGTCATTGATTTGATTTATAGTTTATACTATTTACAACTTGACAAAAATCTTCATAATTTATATTGAAAATTTTTTATTTGCATACTTGAATTGAATATTTCTCTAGTTATTGTTTTCTATTTACAATATTATTAGTTAAAGCAATGGACCTTTTCAACTCTATTGGCCGAAATGAATCCGGGTAAAATTGGAAAAATATATACCAATTTCCTATAGAAGAAGAATGACGAATTCATTTATTTATTTATGGAATAAAATATTGAACATTCTATAATAATTAATTAACTTAAGGAAGTATTTCTTAGTTACAAGTTGGCAAAACAATATTAGTTTTCAAATATTAGATTAAAAGATTAATTAAAATTTTAGTCAACGGGATTATTCTGTCACGCTTGCACCGGCGGCATGATAACGAGATTAACTACCGCTCTCCAGACAGATCCGCGTGATCTGCACGCTTTCCATATTGAATCCTGACCGTTAAAATCAATTTCTTTTCACTTTCTTTCCCTTTCTCAGTATCCAATCACTTTTTTTTTCTTCTGAAAACGCGTCTCTCCAATTTTCCCCCTTCTGTTTCTCGTCATCCGATCAAGGAAAAATCGTCACTTGGGGGTTTTTGGATCAGATTGCAGTCGATCTTTCTTTTTCCTTTTGAATTTCTGTTAAATACTTGCAGTGGATGAACTGTTTCTTCGGATCATTATTTTATTTGGGTAATCAGAGATTTTCGTTTTCGTTCACCTCCTCCAGAAAATCAATTGGTGCCTTCTCTGTAAGTAATACGTCTTTTTCGTTCTCTCTTCGATTTCGTATATTTGGGGTTCCGATCTCGATCCGATTCGTTGACATTCTCCGGCGTTGACTTTTCCGGCGGTTTTATGGGACTGTTTCATCAATAGCCACGAAATCCCAGATTTTGGGAATTAGGGTTTGTTAGATTTATCAGTTTGCCATTGCGTGTACCAGGATCAAACACGAAGCTCAGAGATCATTCCCTAGCACCGGGGGCTCATGCTTACGAGATTTATTCTGAGATCCAGATTTTAGAACGAAATTGAGATCGAGAGTTGGGGTTTACGAATTCTCTCAGGTTGACGTTTGTATTTGACACGATTTAGGATCTGTCCCAGATGCATTTAAACAAAGGATCTATATTTTCCTATTTTGGTCTGCTTCAGATACGTTAGTGTCTCTTAGATTTGGGATTGTTGTGGTCTGTCAATGGAAATTGCTCATAAAGAGGTCAAGGAAGCCAATGGATGTGAAAATAAGCCTCTTTCCGGTTCAGATATCGGTGAAACGGAAGATCGATTCAGTGGAGACGATGAAAGTGAGTCACAGTGTTTGCTGCCTCCAAGGAAAGGAGGGATGTCGAGGAACACCGAGAAGATAAGGAGGAATGTGCAATGGAATGACACCAACGGAAATAAGCTTGCTGAAGTCTTAGAATATGAACCGAGGTAAATTACTCCTAACCTAAGAAACAAAAGTATTGTGATCTGTTTCCATATAATTTAGCTCTCAATGGCGATCAGGATGCCGATGTTTTTGTTTGGTTCTGTTTTGCGTCGATGTTGTATTATAAAATTTAGGTTGAATAATGTGATCTTTGGAGTGATTTGGCTGATGTCATGATTTTGATCTGGTCCCCTGATTATTCAGAAAGGCACCTCTTTTATGAAACCATGGTTATTGCTGGGTTTTGTATCTAGAATTGATTTCTATTTTCAAGTTTCAAGTTGTAATTACAGGGGTTTACAAAATGAAGTGGATCAATAATATAGAACTGGAGCGGGCATTAGGACCCAAGACTTTAGTATATCTACTCTGGCAACTCTGTATAGAGCTTCTGGATACTGACTTTGTCTGAGCAACTTGGTTATTTGTTTGACACCACGCTTATGTCCTGATGGCTTTGTAGTTGTAGGAACTTGAACTAGAGATCGACTAAGAGCTTGTAACCTTAATATACTTTCCAATTCTTAGATGATTGGTGTAAAGTTACCCGTGCTAGAACAAGTTTGTGCTCTTCTCCCCCCCTGAATCTGATGACTTCTTTTAATGTTTCAGATTGACAATTTAATTATTTTGTTTTTGAAGACCTAATCTTTTACCAGTATCAGTGGCCTTGCTTTGTTTGCTGCGTTTCTCCGGTTCTCAGTTGTTCTTTTCCTTTTTGGTCTTGGGTCTTGAAGATTTGTCTTTTATCTTGCAGTGAAGTAAGCGACTCAGAAGAAGATGATACGGATACTTGCATCTGTACAATTATGTAGTTTGCCACAAATGACATATGAGAGCTTCCTTGTATCCCGGCTTCTCTGTGTTAAACGATCACTTCCGGGGTGACATACATGTCAATGATCGAAAATGACAGCAACCTCTACTTTCAGATAATCACGGGCAAAGAGTGTCAGAGTTTGTGCTCAAGATTTTGTGACAAGGAAGATGTCTCACACGGAGTACGTAACCTTTTGCATTTGACAGGACATAGAGTTTTATGTTTCATAGAAGCAGCAATTTGACAGATTCTGGACCGTTCCAGGGACGGAGCAAGTGAGTATAGGCTACAGCACTCTTGTTCTACAGAGGCCAAGGTTTTGTGATTGCAGATTGAACCCTCAAAATTTCTGGTGTGCTTTTACAGGTTTTGATAGTAAAGTTATATCTCTCTGCCTCATCTGACTTGTTAAAGAGTAAGTGTTTACAGCAAGTTTAGCCTCTATCTGTCTTCTTCTTGCACTGATTCTTATGCTCAAACCAGTGGGAATCACACTAGAAAATCAGTTACATAATGATTGGATTTATTGTCTTTCGCTTGTTTCTGCAGTTGCAGACAAAAGGATAAACAACATCTCTTGTTCGAAACCCCGAAAATGGAAAACACCCATACAAACGTAAAGACTCAAAAATGCTACAGAGATGAACAACAAAACAACATAATTCATGGACCAACTGTTATTACCTGTTCTCCATATTGGTGATATCCATAATTGGGGATCTCTCCAATAAGTATCTCTTGGAGGAAACATCCTTTGGTGAGGCTAACCAGTTAGAGAGGCTAGCATCTACAGCTACCTCCTGTTCTTGCTCAGCCGGTTCAATATTCTCTTTCCTTGGCTGCTGCTTAACCTTGGCCGGCTTTGCTTTAACCGCTTTCCACTGAGCAAGACTCTGCACCGGATTCAGGACCTGGGTCAAGTACTGGCTCCTGTTCGAGCCTATGACCATCTCCTCTGCACAAGTGGAAATCACTTCCCCACAGTATAGCCCCATTTCTTCTTCTTCAACTTCATCTTCGTAATCGATTTCATCCTCTGTATAATAATCTTCATCCTCCAAATCACTCTCTCCATAAGCTGTTTCATCATCTTCTTCATAGCTGTCTACACAATTCTGGTATCTGTAGTTTGTAGGGTACGAGGATTTCGTGCCAGAATCATCCGATGTCTTTTCTGGAGCTGGTACCTCTGCATTTCTTTCTTCCTCTTGTATACATTCATCACAGAATGTAATTTCACATGTTCTTGGCATAGGTTCATAAGACTGTACATTCAGATTAAATCTCACTCTCTTCCTGGGCTTGGCCTCCTTCTTCTCCCCTGCCCCGCACCTGAAATAGAGCAGAGATGAAAGAACGGTCAAAAAAACTCACAGATCGGCCTTGTTCACAGGTTTTCGGATTCAGTCTCCCGAAGAGACAAAAAGTTTCTATCTTTCAGTAAACCCAGCTCCATAAAAACATTCAGGACAACATCTGTGCCGAGGAATAGGTCAGTTTTTTTTTTTTGGGATTTGGATCTTGGAACAGTTCGGTTTCAGCTGCATCTCCTGGTCACAGACCTATAAGTTTCATAATGGACTAAAACTCGAACTGACCTGAGGTTAGAATTGGAGATCTTTTCTGGGTTTTCTGAGACATTAAGGCTTGTCGGATCCGAGGAATGCAGAGGCTCATAGCTGCAGATTCTCTGCAACAACAAAAATGGAACCTTTAATGACAACAGATGAAAGGGAAAAAAAAAACCAAAGCTTTTTTTACCGATTGAGAACAGAAATGAAAAGCTTACTTGATGCTGGGACGAGATTTTCCTGTTCGGTTTTCTGTGTTTACGGTTGGAGGAGAGACCGAAACATCCCAGAAAGCATCCCATTGGTTGACGCTTCTGTCGCTTTGGTTCTCGGAGCTGCAACAGGAGGACCAAGACGACGAAGTGGCTTAGCTTAAGACACAGCAGATCTTTAAAAAAAAAAGGTATTATTATTTTTATTTGTTTATTATAAATTTGAAAGAAAGAAATAAGAACGTTAGGATTTCAAATGATGAAAGTGACGGTGGGCTCACAGAGTTCATCGTTTGATCATTTATTTATTTAAATACAGGGACCATAAAATCATAAAATTTAATCTCATAGAAAATTTTATTTATTTACATCACGCACTGAGCAAAAATTAGGATTACAGATGTGCCTTTTCATCTGTAATGGCAAATATCTGTAATGTTGGAATTGGTTTCGAAATTTATTTTAATAATTAAATCCAATTTTTAGATGTTTTTTTAATTTGATCTTTTTATTGCCTCAAATTATTATCAGATGATCAGGATTTCAATTTTGTGTTTTGTGAATAATATCGCTTTTTAAGATTTTAGTTTTGTAATATTTAGATTCATTTTTTACGTGTGTCCGAATCAGTTTAAAAAATTATTTTAAAAACAATAATGTATATAATAATTTTGGAAAATAAGAATAAAATAAGCTGGAATCGGAAAGTGTGAGTCCCAAAGCTCTCGCTCCCTTAAACGCAATTGGCCGCTATCTGTCACTCAGACTTTTCTCTCTCCGATTCACACGAACCCGAAAACCCTAATTTTTCTGGTTCTGAGTGAATTTTTTTTTTCTTCGGAGGATTTGTCGGTGTTGAATCTAGGGTTTTGGGTGCAACCAGGGAGAGAGAGATATCGTTGCCATGGAATCGGATCAGGGGAAGCTGTTTATCGGCGGGATATCGTGGGAGACGGACGAGAATGTGTTGAGAGAGTACTTCAGCAATTACGGCGAGGTTTTGCAGGTTACGGTGATGCGAGAGAAGATGACGGGTCGACCCAGGGGATTCGGGTTCGTCGCGTTCTCGGATCCTGCTGTTGTTGATAGGGTTCTTCAGGACAAACACCACATCGATAACAGAGATGTAAGCGTTTTAATTGTTTCTAGTATCTCCTTTGGGGGTTTTTTCGTGGGATTTCTGAATTTTTTTCTTCGAAAGCTCCCAGCTTTATGATGAATTCGCCATTGTCTTTGGTGAAATTCATGCCATTATTTGTTAATTGTTTGTCTGGATTTAGAACGACTGTGGGTGTTATAGTTTTGGTGACGTTCTTCGTTGTTTCTCTATGATACAGATTTTCACATTTTCGGTTTAGTTTTAATGAATGCTCGAATCCATTTGTTGGGTATTTAATCTCTATGGTGGCGAATGTTTTCCCTATTTGATTGTTTATCTTCTGCGATATATTAGGTTGACGTGAAGAGAGCTATGTCTAGAGAAGAGCAGAATACTTCTGGGAGATCAGGAAACTTTATTGCCTCTAGAAATTACGATAGCAGTGCTAATATCAGAACTAAGAAGATTTTTGTGGGAGGCTTACCTCCCGTGTTAACAGGAGATGAATTCCGCAGCTACTTCGAAGCTTATGGCTCTGTAACTGATGCAGTCATCATGATTGATCAAAACACCCAACGTCCTCGTGGATTTGGATTCATTTCTTTCGAATCAGAAGATTCAGTTGACCGTGTTCTGCACAAGACTTTCCATGATTTGAATGGCAAACAAGTTGAAGTGAAGCGGGCCCTTCCGAAAGATGCTAATCCTGGCGGGGCCAGCCGCGGTAGTGGAACCGGTGGCTCAGGAGGTTATCTGGGTTATGGCGGAAGTGGATATGAGGGTCGTATGGATTCCAATAGATTCATGCAGCCTCAGAACACCGGAAGCGGTTACCCTCCCTATGGAGCTTCTGGGTACAGTGCTGGATATGGTTATGGAAATAACGGTGTAGGTTATGGTGGTTATGGAGGGTATGGCAACCCAGCTGGTGCACCATATGGGAATCCTGGTGCTGGGTATGGAAGTGGTCCTAGAAGTTCATGGGGCGCTCAAGCTCCTTCTGGTTATGGCAGTGTGGGCTATGGAAATGCTGCTGGATGGGGTGGTTCTGGTCCAGGTTCAGCGATGCCTGGTCAAGCAGGTGGGCCAGCGGGATATGGTGGTCAAGGCTATGGGTATGGCGGATATGGAGGAAGTGATTCCTCTTATGGGACTCCCTCTGCGTATGGCCCTGTTGGTGGACGATCTGGCAATATGCCTAGCAGCCATGGCGGTGCTTACGGTGATGCAGCCTGGAAACCTGACTCAGATGGCTCTGGAGGTTATGGGAATCACCAAGGGAATGGACAAGCTGGCTATGGTGGTGGCTATGGCAGTGGTAGACAAGCCCAGCAACAGTGAAACAGGATCAGAGACTACCACGTGGTTTTCATCCCTGACCTTGACTCCTCTTTCAGCCTATAACGGCATTATGTGGAGCAGCATCCTCCAGGAAATCAATCTATGCTGGGATTGGGTTGCGTTGCTTGAACTCAACTAGATTGTTATAATATCTATTTTGCTAGTTTCGTAATAAGTAGTTTTCAGGCACTCGAGATGCTGGTCGTACTTAGTGTTTCCCTTGTTTGAGTTGTAGTTGAAGTTTGCGTGCTTATTATCTATACTTGTTTGCTTTGGAATGGTTTTCTATCTCTATCTACCTCTAAGTGTTTTGTGCTTTACAATAACGTCGTCACATATCTTTATATTCAATCTTGTTCGGTTTGCTCAAGCTTCGACTATCTTCTTCCGGCTATCTGTTTTTTCATCTCGGAAGGTATGTGTTTGATGTGCTCTGAGATCTAAAAGGAGTTTGTTTGGTAGCTGAGGAGCTTCTTCATATCGGGTAGGCTGTATTAACCACTTGGAGATGTGCATAATAATCATTCTCCCTTTCGTGTTTTGCAACCGTTTTGTACAGGAGGATCTTGTTCTGCATTTCGGTCTTTCACCCAAATGGCTGTCAAGAAGCTAGACGCAGGCTCTCACGTTGTCCGATTCTCCCCCATCTGATTCCCAGGTTTGGTTTAGTAGCAAGACAGTAAACTGTTCTTGTCGACTTGCCTTGTCTGATATCTTTTACTTTGAGAAGTGCATAACAAAAGTTAAGAAACAATGCAAAAGTATAACCAGAATGCTCAGAAGCAGGGTTGCTGTTGCCTTGTCTGATATCTATGGATCGGTTGGTATGGTAAAATCTGGTAACCTTTTTGGGTTTATGGAACGTGCCCTCTTATTTATTTTATTGTTCTCTCTCGTTACAAGCGACAACAGATACAGACAGAACCGCAAAAATCTTCAAACTGTTTTTGTTTTTGAGAGAAGCATCTAAAGACATGGCAATGGCGGTGGCTGTTTTGTGATCATTGCTGGATTCTGTTGGTAAGAAAGTAGTTGTGTGTGTGTGTGTATATATATAGTTCAATAACTCGAACATGTCGTCATTAGAAGCATTTACAGAGAGGAAGGAGGAGGAGTTGGGATTTGGATTCAGAAAAAAAAGTTTTTAACTAAAAATAGGGTGTTTGCTAAATATATTTATGTGAATCTTCCTGGTTTCTCTCACACCCTCTTTCTTCTTTTAGCTTTTTCCGACAAAACCATCATCCAACTCTGTCTCTCTCTCTCCTCTCTCTCTTCTTACAAACCCAGAATGCCTTCTCTCTCTCCCTCTCCTCTCTCGTTGGACGTCTAAAAGAATCGACCCCTCACCCCTCTCTCTCTTTCTCCCCGAGCCGTCCGTCCGTCCATGGCCCATCATCCCCGTCGAGAGTCCTTCTCGGTTCCTCTCTCTAACTTGGGTTCCACGGTGGTGTGTCAGGACACCGATCTCCTCTGGCCGTTCGGAAAGCTTGACGGGCTTGACCGCGATGACATCCGGGAGACCGCCTATGAGATCTTCTTCACGGCGTGTCGTTCCTCGCCCGGGTTCGGAGGCAAGACCGCTCTCACATTCTATTCCTCCCACAGCAGCAGCGACGGTGACAATCATGGCGACGGGGGAGGGGGAGGTGGGCCCAGGTCACCGGCCGGGTCAGGGTTCGGGTCTATGGGGAGAAAAGAGGTGGTGACCACGCCGACGAGTCGTGTGAAACGCGCCTTAGGGTTGAAGATGCTTAAAAGGTCGCCTTCCAGACGGATGTCGACTATGGGGGCGGTTGGTGGGGCCGGGTCAGCTCCGGTTTCTCCGGCAGGTGGTGGCGGTGGCATGGGTCATATTAGCCCTGGAGCCGGGTTCTTGACCGTACCGCCTGTACGGCCGAGAAGACCGTTAACCTCGGCGGAGATCATGAGGCAACAGATGAGAGTGACGGAGCAGAGTGACACTCGCCTTCGGAAAACCCTAATGAGGACACTTGTTGGCCAAGTAAGTTCCCTTTCATCTTCTTCTACAAAAAGAACTCATGCTTTTTTCTCATCAATGGCGGATTCTTTGACGTGATTTATCGATTTGCGTGTGTAGACGGGAAGGCGAGCAGAGACGATAATCCTTCCACTAGAGCTTCTCCGACACCTGAAAGCCTCCGAGTTCAACGACACGCACGAGTACCAGCTATGGCAACGAAGACAGCTCAAAGTCCTCGAAGCCGGTCTTCTCCTTCACCCATCGATCCCTCTCGACAAAACCAACAACTTCGCCATGCGAATGCGCGAAATTGTCAGGCAGAGCGAGTCGAAACCTATCGATGCCAGCAAAAACTCTGACACCATGAGAACTTTGACCAACGTTGTTGTCTCCCTGTCATGGCGCAGCACCAACGGTAACCCCACCGATGTCTGTCACTGGGCCGACGGTTATCCTCTGAACATCCACCTCTACGTGGCGCTGTTACAATCGATCTTCGACGTCAGGGACGAGACTTTGGTGTTGGACGAAGTGGATGAGCTCTTGGAGCTGATGAAGAAGACATGGTCAACACTTGGGATAACTCGGGCAATACACAACTTATGTTTCACGTGGGTTTTGTTTCATCAGTATGTCGTGACTTTGCAAATGGAGCCGGACTTGCTCGGTGCCTCACACGCCATGTTGGCCGAGGTGGCTAATGACGCCAAGAAGCTCGACCGCGAGGCTCTATACGTGAAGCTACTGACCTCGACGTTGGCCTCCATGCAAGGATGGACCGAGAAAAGGTACTCGCTTGGTGTTCTTCGGTTCATAGTCATGCATTAGGTTAAGTTCTTTCCTGTTCCTGATGCTGTCTTGTCTATGTCGAAGGTTGTTGAGTTACCATGATTATCTCCAACGTGGGAATATGGGATTGATCGAGAATCTTCTGCCATTGGCTCTATCGTCGTCGAAGATACTGGGCGAGGATGTTACGATCTCTCAGGGGAAAGGGCAAGAGAAAGGAGATGTGAAACTGGTGGATTACTCGGGAGATCGAGTCAGTTACTATATCAGAGCATCGATAAAAAATGCGTTCTCGAAGGTGATAGAGAGCACCAAAGGCAGGTTCGAGGCGACAACTGAGGAAGGAGAGAAAGCGGCGGCAGACATGCTGCTGCAACTGGCCAAGGAGACAGAGGAACTGGCGCTGCGAGAACGCGAGTGTTTCAGCCCTATACTCAAACGCTGGCACTCGGTTGCGGCCGGGGTCGCGTCCGTGAGCCTTCACCAGTGCTATGGCTCGGTCTTGATGCAATACTTGGCCGGAAGGTCGGTGATCACCAAAGAAATTGTCGAGGTTCTGCATACGGCCGGGAAGCTTGAGAAGGTTCTGGTTCAGATGGTGGCCGAAGATTCCGAGGAATGTGACGATGGAGGAAAAGGGCTTGTACGAGAGATGGTTCCTTACGAGGTTGACTCAATTATCTTGCGACTTTTGAGGCAGTGGATCGAAGAGAAGCTGAAGAGAGTTCAAGAGTGCTTATACAGGGCAAAGGAAACCGAAGTAGGTTTAAGAGTTTACTTGCGGATCAAGAAACGATATTTCGTCAGCCCATCTGATCGTGTAGTGTTTATTTTCTTGTGCAGACATGGAACCCGAAATCGAAATCAGAGCCCTATGCACAATCCGCTGGGGAATTGATGAAGCTAGCGAAGGATACTGTCGATGAATTCTTCGAGGTACCGATTGGAATCACAGAAGATCTCGTCCATGATCTTGCCGAAGGACTGGAACAACTCTTTCAAGAGTACACTACCTTCGTTGCATCTTGTGGTGAGTACAGATTCACAGAAACTGGTAAATTATCTTCTTCCGATTTCGATTCCATCCATGATTCTGTGATTCTCTCCATGTTTCAGGATCAAAACAGAGTTACATTCCCACTCTTCCACCACTCACAAGATGCAACAGAGACTCGACGTTTGCAAAGCTTTGGAAGATAGCCACGCCATGCACGGCGACCGGAGAAGAGCTCCACCACAATATCCCGGCCGCGTCGGAAGGTCACCACCCTCGGCCGTCCACGAGCCGTGGGACCCAACGGCTCTACATCCGTCTCAACACGTTGCAGTTCCTCAGCTCATACCTTCACTCCCTCAACAAGACACTCACTCTCAACCCGAGGGTCCTCCCCGCAACACGAAAACGTTATCGCCATAGAGGCAACTCGTCCTCTTACTTCGATTTCACCTACGCTGCCATCGAATCCGCTTGCCTACACGTCTCTGAAGTCGCGGCCTATAGATTGATCTTCTTGGACTCGAACTCCGTTTTCTACGAGACCCTCTACGTCGGCGATGTCCCCAACTCGAGGATCAGACCCGCGTTGAGGATCTTGAAACAGAATATAACGTTAATGTCGGCGATTTTAGCGGATCGAGCTCAAGCCATGGCGATGAGGGAGGTGATGAAAGCGTCATTCGAGGCGTTCTTGATGGTTTTACTCGCGGGAGGACATTCCCGGGTGTTTTACAGGGCGGATCACGGTCTGATCGAGGAAGATTTCAACAACTTGAAGAAGGTTTTTTGCACCTGCGGAGAAGGATTGATTCCGGAGGAAATAGTGGACAGAGAGGCCGAGACGGTGGAAGGAGTGATCCAGCTGATGAGTCAGCCGACAGAGCAGTTGATGGAAGATTTCAGCATCGTGACGTGCGAGACGAGTGGCATTGGAATGGTCGGAGCCGGACATAAGCTTCCGATGCCGCCGACGACAGGGCGGTGGAACCGGTCGGATCCGAACACGATCTTGCGAGTTCTCTGTCACAGGAACGATCGGGTGGCTAATCATTTTCTGAAGAAGGCGTTCCAGTTGGCCAAGAGGAGATGAATTTGTGCCATGGGAGGAAAAGGGGAGGGGTGAAAATGGTAATTAATTGCTTTGTAAGGGGCAGAAGTGTAAGTCTGCAAAGTTTGTAAATGTTTCTAATCGTATGGAAGTTGGTTCGAGTGTGTGGTGTCGTTCCTAAGAAGAATTTGTTGATTCTTTTTTTTTATTAGAGTTAAAAATGTGTTCATAAATAGAATCTATGTTACGTATAAAATATTACATTCATTAAAAAAAAATAAACGAATGATTTTAAATTTATTTCAGATATAAACAAATTATTAAACTGTTCTTATAGAATTAAATTGCAACCACTTGCACTCCCTATAATAAGACGGCTCTGTTTAGGGATGTTAATGTTCCGTTCTTGATGGATTGCAGCCGAGCTGTTTGTTAATGGGGAGGTAGTCCAACGACCGCGCCGCAGATACTCTCGGCCATGAAGCCAATGCGTACGGTCTTGCTTACCCAAGTGCTCATAAGGCCAAATGCCAAGCCTTTGTTTTGTAGTCCAAGTCCGTGGATCACTTGTGACAAGTGTGGTTTACTCTTCTAAGAAAATTGAGATGTGGTGTGTAAATATATGGCTTGTATTCAACAAAAATATATGTAGTATGTTATTCTTTTGGAATTTTGTTAAGATAACGTGATACTTCGTCATTTCTTATTTTAATTTTTGGGAAATAAATGGGTTATTTTACTCAAATGATCTATTTGGGTTGCACCAATTTGTTCTCACATACATCACCAAAAAAAAAAAATATTTTTTTCAATCTTATACCATTTTTTCATTTAAAAAATCCGAAATATTCTTTCATTCATATTTTTTACGATTTTTATTGCGACTATTATATAACTATCCGATTAAAAAAAGTATTTATGATGGTATAACAAGATAAGGTCTAAAAAAATATAGTTATTTTTTAAATTTGAAATATGCATTTTTTGCCACGTCATTTAAAATCAATTATAATTGTATTTAGAATTAATTATGATGTCGTAATTATAAATTCTTTTCTGAATGAACAAATAATACGGTTAAAGGTAATATGGTCTTTTCGAAGAGAATTTAATATGTTATGTTTTTTGTGGTGTACCCGTAAAATTTTCGATCCGGCTGATATGAGTAAAATGTCCAAATAAATGCGATATTGCTTCGAATTTTTGTTTTGCACGAAAAATAAATATCTAAACATTATAATAGAATGTTGATCTTAATTGATATTATTAGTGAGGTGAAAAAATAATTTCTTTGGAATCTCTGCGGTCATTGAAATAAGTTAAAAGGTGACGAAAAGAGTAAACCCTAACGATCCCATCCTCCATGTTGGCGAAGCCTCTGCGGCCAATGAAATTTTGTCCATCGCCGGCGATTGATTTCATCCATCATCGCTTTCCAGGCGACGGGACTAAGAAAATCCATGCTAGGAGCTGAAAAATCAGGCTAAAGAAGTTCTACTTTCGCCGAATTTGGCGCCCATCGGAGAGAGAGAGAGAGAGAGAGAGAGAGAGAGAAGTAGCCGGCGGCTGATAAACTCCGGCCAATATTAACCCGCTTCTGCCAGATTAGGTGAGTCCGGAAGTGAACATTTGCATGCTGTATTGTTTGAACTTCTGCGGCATGTCTACTGATGTTTGTTCGGCCTGTTTGATCTCTCTGTTGTTTCTTGTTTGGCTCAAAGGTGTAATTTTTTGCGGACATTTGCCTTTGATTCTGTGAGAGTACGCAGTATGAATAAATCCAGTAAGACTAGGGCTACACTGGGAAAACACCATGGACTTGCAGACGAAGGATCTGCTGCTCGGACAAGACCTATAAGCTTCGAAGAGATTATGCAAAGAAGGAAGAAGAAAGAGTCATTGGAAAATGTGGAGGAGGGAAATAGAGTAGAAACAATTCAAGCCAAGTCAATGGGCGATGATCCTTTCCGGCGGGGTAGACACCATAGAGTTTCTTCCCATTGTTCTGAGAAGCTGAGGTCTGAGGTAAATGCTAAGGATGGTTCACGAAGGAGAGAGGAGATAATTTATAGGGAGGAGAGACTTGATAAACACAAAAACAAGCAAGACCACGTTACAGATGCAAAAAGGATGGTTGAAGAAGAAGGTCGTTATACTGAAAGAAAAATGGGGGCTGATCGAGATGATACCCCTTCTATGAAAACCAAAACTGTGCAAGGTAGAGAAAGACGTGCTTCAAAGGCAACTGATGAACAGACTCATGCTACGGAACTTGTTAATGAGCGAGCAAGTAGCGCTAAGAATGTACCTGCTAGGAAGCGTCTGAGAAGTTTAGTAGTGATTAATAGACCCCCGGATGAAAATAGTGGAAAACCGGATGACTTGAACAAGAGAAAACACCAAAATGGAGATGATACACGAGATAGGGAGAGGAAAAATCCCAAGAAACGGGATCTGAGAAAAATGCATAGCGTTGAAGGTTCAGAGAGAAAGGAAAAAAGGGAACAGCCAAGGCCACATCATCGTGACATTAGGGAGAAAAGGAGAAGGACAAGGAGCCGAGATCATGGGCAGGATAAAAATAGAAGGACATCCCCCTCTCCAAGGGCTGAAAAGGCTGCATCGCGTCACAGGAGAGACTGTGAGGAGATCTCTGTCAGTGGACCAAAAGATCAGGTTGGAAGGAATCATTCTGGTGACGGTGGAAAAAAAGTGGCAAGCAATGGCTCAAGTAATCAGTCGAGGCGGTACACAGGTTCCAAAAGTGGACTTGGTGGATATTCCCCAAGGAAAAGGAGGGAGGAGGTTCCCCACAAGGCTCCTTCTCCACCGAATCTCTCAGCCGAAAAAAAAAGTGCTAAGTGGGACCTGGTACCTACTGAAACCACCAGCATGCTATCTGGGTCAGTTATCCAGGCAGCAATACAGACTGCATATTCAACCTTTAGTGAAACGGCTTTGGCTATGTTGAATCCCCTTACCGAGGTGTCTTTTAAGACACCACCAGCAAAACAGAACATTTCAGTTGACTCTGTTCAACTCACGGAATCTACCAGGCGTATGAGGAGACTTTACATAGAAAATGTGCCTGATTCAGTCTCTGAGAAGTCTTTGATTGAATGCTTCAATAGCTATATGCTATCTTCAGGCTCTAATTACATTCAAGGAAGCCAGCCTTGTATTAGCTGTATTGTAAGCCCCTGGGATATTTTTTTTCTTCATCAATATTGCTCTTGTAGAATGTTTGGATTGTGCCATTTGACGTCCTCTTCTTTCTGGAATGCAGATAAATAATGAGAAGGGTCAGGCTCTTGTGGAATTTCTTACACCTGAGGATGCTTCTTCTGCACTCTCTTTGGATGGCTGTTTGTTTGCGGGTTCGAGCCTCAAAATTAGACGCCCTAAAGATTTTGTTGAAACAACAGTAAGAATTATTTCCTCAATCTTCTCCCATGTGCCTGCTTTAAGTGTTCTTCATTGTAGTTTGTTGCTCTGTGAGAACAGTTCTTGAACTTGAGAGGGATTATAAATTATCAATGTGTTTTAGCTTGATTATAGTTTTTGCTTTCAATTCTAGTTGTACATGAGCTATGCGAGTCTATAATCTAATCCATGTTCGATTCAAGTTTACGTTCAGTAATTCATAAGAAAGCCAGGTCCATTTGTGTTTGAGATGCGGAGTCATGATAGGTATGCGGTAGTGGAATTTGACCAACCATGTGGATTAATGTTGTTTACAGCATAATAGTACATAAGCCTGTGGTCTTTTCATCTCAATTTCTATTTGTTGTGGACCTCAGCATAGTTTATTGCTGCTGATTGTGATTGTAATGGCTTCAAGGGCTTTCTGTTTTTTAAGCATCTTTGGTGTTTACTTTTCAAACAACGAGATCTTTGGATTCTCCGTGGTCAGGAGAAAAGGGAAGTTATTTTTTCTCATATGCAGATAGGAATTTGTGTTGGTTGTTTGTCATGTTTTTGTCACAGCCTTTCTTATGAAAGAACCTTGATGGAAGCATCATGCCATCTAACAAGTTATGATCTTGTTGATATATGAGAATTTTGGAGGCACATATTCTGATCTTATTGCTTTAGTAGATAGCTTGGGTTTGTCTCGGTAATGGGCTAAGCAGAAGCTGAATAATTTAGCCAGTATAGTCTCGTGAGAATTAAGATTTTTGTGAGAAATAACCTAATCAACTACTTCCTGATATTGATTGAGGTTCTCACCTCAAGTTTTTCTAGTTGTGCTGCAAAGTAATACTGAATTGGAGAAACTAGCTTTATTTAGGGTTTACTTCATATCGAAAGGCCTGATCTAGTAGAGTTGTGCTATTTGTTTTTATTTTCAATCCGTTTGAAAGGCTTTTATGTCTCATTCATGTTCTTCGGAAGTTATTTTATGACCTCTGATATTAACTAGATGTAGCACTGGGCATAGCTGTAGTTTATGGATTGCACATGAAACAATTTTTTTTCTCAAGCTACATGTGAGACTGTTTTCTGACTATCGTGTCTTGGAATCTCTTAAATAGGTAGTTTATGTTGGGTATATCGTAATTCACATTCAGGAGGGTGATGAAGCTTTCTGGTAAATAAGAAGACACCAGGTGTAGTGACAAGTTGTTGTGTTTTGAGTTTCTTTCTCTTTTTTCTCCTTTTCCTCTTTTGCAGCTATGATTTTTGGTTGTGCATAGATAATCCATATCCTTTTGGTTATACTAGTGATCTAGCTTATTTGCATTCTGTTAAAATAACAGTTAAGACTGGATTTAATTTATGTTATAATGGTCTAGCGACAAGTTGCATCAAGGTATGAAGGTTTATTTTTGTGTTCTGAGTTGTGGGTTAAACATCTGTATGGCTGTGCTTTTCATATCATTCTGGGTGGTATGTCTTCTTTCTGCATTTTTGTCAATAGGTCTGCTACTTTTTTTCTTGTCATAGTTTGGTCAAGACAGCTTCCGAATGCTATATTGCTATGATTTATTTTTCTGCATCTCAAGAATTCTCATCGAGAGGTTAAGCTTCACATTTGTATTTCATTCTCTGTCGAGCTTCTCTTGAATGGTTTCCTAGTGCTGTCGCTGATTTTTTTTTTGTTCCAAATCGTATTATTCAACTGCATACTAATTAAGAATTCGTATAATGTACTTGTGATAGAGGTCGAGTATTATTGGACATAAAAAATCTTGTGAAAAAGAACAAATCCTTTCTAGAGTCTTTAAGCGACTGATGGTTCTATTCAGTGTTCCTGAAGAGCTCTACAAGATGAGATTCCCTTAAAACAAATAGTACAGTACTTACATTTCATTAGATTCGGACATATGGTTTGTGTTCTGTTCGTTACCCATTTTGTCTCATCTGAAAGCTGCTGAATCTTCTATGAATTATGGCCTGGCAGCATCTTGAATGCTGTGGCCTTTAATAGTTTAATCCCAAATTTTGACTATTAATTACTATCTCATTTTTGCAATAAATTATCTTTGGTAGCTTGGTTTGACATTGTAAAACAATTAGTCTCTTGCTCCTTGAAATAAACTTTAGTAAGTACAACCGGTTTCTGCTGTCGATTTGTAGTTCCTGAGGTATGTTTTGGTTACCGTCTATGAAGCAGGTTTTCAGACAGTTGCTATTTTCATGCAGACCGGTGACCTGGATAAAAAAGAGGCAGCTACGAATGCATTAAGTGAGACCGTGGAGGATTCACCTAACAAGGTATATTTGGCTAAACTATCATGAATTTTATAAAGTGAAACATTTTGATATTTTGTTTACTTCGTAACTACTAATTCTGGTACATGACTTCAAAGATGTAACATTGATGGAGTATTTCTTTCGTTGTTTTAAATAAGTCATCTTTGCTAGTCTCTGCTGGTTTGCTGCTGATTCTTGTGTACCACTTTCTTGTTCGCATTGTTCTTGCAGATATTCATTGGTGGAATTTCAAATGCCATTTCATCTGAAATGGTAAGATGGGTGTGATTCTGAGAGTTATATTATTATAATTTATATTCCCTATTTCGTTTCCTATATTGTAGGTAATTCCTCTTTGTTTTTTTTTTCAGTTGATGGAGATTGTGAGTGTCTTTGGACCTCTAAAGGCATACCGTTTTGCAAACTACACTAATCAGCCATGCGCTTTCCTGGAGGTAAACAAAAATGCTTTCTCTGATTTGCTCTGTTAAAAATTCTCTTCAATTCACTCTATATCATCATGAAAACTCAGACATGCGTTTTTTTTTTTTTTTTTTTTTTTTTTTTTTTTTTTTTTTTTTTTTTTTTTTGGGGGGGTTTTTTTTTGTTTTTTATGGGGGGGTTACTGTAATTTATTGTCTTCATGTAGTTATTAGGATTGTACGATCCGATGTGTTTGCGTTCTATCAAGGTAGGATTCAGAGAATATCGATGGGTGATTTGTTTTAGCATGAATGTCATTATAGATACCTTAAGATGCGCAATAACTCAAGCTTCCAAATTCTCTTTTTCCCCTTTAGTTTTAGTAACATGTGTGCCCTTTACTGAAGTGGTATCACTAATATTCTGTGTAAAAACCGAAAACTTTATAAATCATCTTTAAAATTTCAGTATTCTATGTAATATTCTGTGAAGAGTCGGCTTTCTAAAGCCAGTGCCATCTTTCCAAATGGCTGAACAGCGATGAGCTTAATTGATAGTTGTTTTTTTCTTATTGTAATCCTGAGTTTGGCTAAAGTGTCATTTGACGTTCTTACATCCTCAGTACATGGATGGATCTATTACACTCAAAGCATGCGCTGGCCTCAACGGTATGAAGTTGGGTGGGAATGTAATAACTGTTGTTCGAGCACTTCCTGATGCATCATCTATCATGGTAATTCACGACCATCATCATGTTCTTCTCTTATCCATGCATTACTCTATGTTTATGTGGTTCTTAGGAGAAGTTGGATCCTTTTGTAAGGAGAAAGTATGTTGTAACAAGTGTATGTTGCAGGGTGACAACAAAAATCCACCCTTCTATGGGATACCTGAGCATGCAAAACCCCTTCTGGCCAAACCTACCAACATACTGAAGCTCAAGAATGTGGTAAGGACATTTATGTTTTTCCGATTTTTTAAATTTTATTTTTTCCCCGTTAACCGTGAATGGTAATGAACATGTGTGGCCTTCCTTCCATTCTTACTTTGTTGGTAGATCGACCCAGAAGACCTTCTGTCCATTTCTGAACCCGAAATGAAAGAAATTCTGGAGGATGTGCGGTTGGAATGTGCCAGGTTAGGCTTTTATTCTTTAAATCTGAAACTCAATGAATTAAGATCACACTTTTACATGTACTCATGATGCAGGTTTGGTGTGATCAAGTCGATCAACATCATGGACCACCAAATCAGCGAAATGACCACTTCGAAAACAGATGCAGCTGGGGAAGAAATGAATGAATCAGTGATTTGTAGGAAAGATGATGAATCCAAGAAAGCTAATCATACTACTGACAGTGAAGAACAACATACAGAAGACGGGCAAACCCGTTCTACCGGGGAAGACAAAACCGCCGAGTTCACAGTTACGGGTCACGATGAAGATCATTCCACCGCACCAAAAACTGAACAAGAAGATCATCGTTCTGACAACGGGAAGGAGGCAGCCATTGATGAGCTTGAACATAAGCAGGAAGTTGGAGCTGTTCGGGCGGTCAGGACAAGGTGGGAACCTGCAGAGAGAGAGGGAAAACCGGACATGGAAAGTGTGTTTGAAAAGGGTTGTATCTTGGTGGAGTATGGAAGGACAGAAGCCTCGTTTGCAGCAGCTCGTGCCTTGCAGGGAAGGCTGTACGGAAACAGAGTGGTGAAGGTGGAATACGTTTCTGAAGAGCTCTACAAGATGAGATTCCCTTAAAACAAATAGTACAGTACTTACATTTCATTAGATTCGGACATATGGTTTGTGTTCTGTTCGTTACCCATTTTGTCTCATCTGAAAGCGAATCCTAATCCTCTTTGTATATGCATATGGGATTGGGATCTGTTTTCCCATGTCACTGTCATCTGTTTCCTTGTTAAGGGAGAAGTCGAATTCCACAATAGCGCTTTTGGTTCTCGACCTTTGGTATTGACTTGACCGGTTTTGGTTTATTCCGGTTTTCCAACGGTTAAGACTTAGTTTGGTCCTCTTGCTCGTTCTGTTCTGATCCTGGATTCCCGATTCTGAATTCTTAGTTTTTTTTCTTAATCTAAAGAGAACAAGAACAGCCACCGGTTTGGAATCGGTACGATGCATACCGGAATTGCTCTCGTCGTACTGGGTTTGGGCCGAGAATGCCGAAGTTCACGAGTAACCCGCTGAAAGAAGTAGAGACTCTCTTCGAGTGAAGTGTATCGTCATCTTTATCCATCCTGTCCTCTGATTCTATCAACATATCCTCTTCTTTCACCTGGAAGCAGAACAGAAAATGGCGACAATGGCAACGCAGGGACCTTGGCTGCGGATGGCCGCCGTTTCTCCGCCGAAGGCCGTCTCCAGGGCACCGACTGTGTCGTCTTCTGAGCTAGGGTTCCTCTCCTCGCAGCTCAGTGGCATCAGAATTTCTCAAAGTCCCTGTGACGTTGCGAAGCTCGTATCTGCTCCTTCTGCTCCCGCTCTCCAACCTATCGTCGCTCGTATGTTTCCCTGAATTCTTTTCCCTGCGTTTTGTCCGCGTTTAATATCGTATGACATGACATTAAGCCCACCAAAAGTGGTGAAATTGTTGACTAAGTCGATGTTGTTTTGTATAACTAGGGCCATGTGATCGTGATTACCTATTGAAGTTCGAATCCTTTTGTGGGTAATCACGATCGGTCTGAAATTCTGTCTTTTTTTGTGGAATTCTGTAGCTCTCTTCTTCATTTTGGTTCTTCAAATGCTCTCTATAAGCTGTTTGACCTTGCTTTTGACAAGTTTCCATCGAAAAATTTCGATCATGAGAGAAGAAAAGGCAAATTCGATTCTCTGTTTCTTGTGTAAGACAGTAACCATGAGACATAAGGATGGAAAATCTTATTTTGGGGATCACAACATTTCTGTAATCGCTGAAACTGTCATTCTCCATTTGTATTTTCTCAGGCAGAATTTGCCCTTTTACGGGGAAGAAAGCGAACAAGGCCAACAAGGTTTCTTTCTCAAACCACAAGACCAAGAAGTTGCAGTTCGTGAACTTGCAGTACAAGAAGGTTTGGTGGGAAGCCGGGAAACGATATGTCAAGCTCCGGTTGTCAACTAAGGCCTTGAAGACAATCGAGAAAAACGGACTCGAGGCTGTGGCTAAGAAGGCCGGGATAGATCTTCGCAAAGAATAGACTTGTATGGAGAAGAAGCTCGGTATGTGATTCTTTTCTTTTGTTCCTTCTGTACTCCCTCTTGGTATTCCTTCCACAAAAAAGTAAAAACATTGCCTCTGTTCTCCTTCTTCACCCGTAGTGACAATGGAATTTCCCCTTCTTGATCAGAGTTTTTGACCGTTTCTGCACAGCTGATTTCTGTTTCTCTTCATGGCAGTCAAGAAAGACAGATTTTTTTTTCACTTGAGGCTACTCTGGAAATGAAAAACACATGCTCTCAGACAAATCGTTTTTATCTTAGGTTTTTCTTTCAAGAACTAAAACGTGTATCAGCTGATAGAACAGTAGAGTTCTCGTCTTTTCCTTTAGATTTCTTCATTGATGATAGCTCTCCCCCTACCGATCCCTTGAGCCTCCTCTGACGCGAAGCGGGTTTCCTCGGAGGAACTGAACCATCAGCAGCAAGAGGGTAAGAAGGTTCCATGTCAGGAACCGGGCCATTACGTCTCCTCCTGACCGAGGGGTCTGACGAGTCCGTTGAGCCGTTTGAGCTCCGGTGGCGCCTGGAGGACTTTGGCGGGGCATCGGCTGCCGACCACTTCGAAAACAGATCGGTTTCTCGGTCTGGACCGGAGGCAACAGCTCTTGCAATCCCACTCCCCTTTGGGTTTTCCCTGCAGGGACAGCCACATTAGACTGTGGAATTCCTCAATCAATCGAGTTTTTTCTTTTGAAAGGTTGAAACTTTGAAAATGCGAAGTCTTCGCTAACCTTCTGGGTTGAATCTGGGGCCATGGCCTTTAACATCACCTCTGTAACCAGCTTGCCCGTTTTCTTGATCTCGAGGCTTAAAGTCATTCATCTGCAAATGAACAGACACTTGTATTCGTACACGTATCCATAAGAGAAAATGCGTATAAATGTATCGGTGAGAGAAAAACGCAGCCCGTACCCAGCTGGGTGTGTTGGCGGAGGGACTGTCGGAGCCGATGTGGGCAACGTGCTTCACATCTGTCGGGAACCCAATCTGCATCTCCGGCTCCTTCTCCTCATCTGCAATTCCCTCTCAAAAACATTGTCAGATCTCTGCAGAGATAACTTGTGGCACAAGAAACGGCGTTTTCGATGAGGACTCACCGAAAATCTGAGTGATGTATCGAAGGCCTTTCAAGAGGCCCTTCATTGTTGTCGCCATCTCGGGCGCAATTCGAATATCGAACTCGAGGGAGACAAAAGTTTCTGGGGTTTTTTTTTTGGTCGTTTTTGCTAGAGCTCTGTAATGGCAGCAAACCTGACCGACGGAACGAACAAATCAACAGATCGTAAGATTAAAACCCAGAAATAAGAGATTGGGAGTTTTTATACATTATTGGAAATCACAAGATCCCACCATTTCTGCCAACCGAAAAGGAAACAACAGATCAGAAGATGTCTGAAAAAACATGGACATGGAGAAAAAACATGGAAAGAGAACAAGAGGTGCCGAGATGAACAAACCTGAAGCGCATGGAAAGTAATGGAAAAGAGGGAGCAAAAATGGGGGGAATGAAGAGAAGAGGAGAGGGTTTTTGTTGATGGGTATATGGAATCAGCTCTCTCTCTCTCGGTTGTCATCAACCAGGAGAGAAGACGAGGGAGAGCACTAATTTTTTTTTTTTTTTTTTTTGGTTACCAGGGATATAAACTCTTACGAGGTCTCTTTAATATTAAAAAATATATCAATAATTTAATATTATTTTTTTAATTTATTCTATAATTATTTTTTTTTAATGGAGGGAAGGCGTATGAGTTGAATCCTACTAGTACTAATGACTCATTATCGAATAAAACACGTCTTTGGTTTCTCTTCGTAGGTATGATTGGGTTCTTCCTGTAATGTCCCCTTGTTTTAATTCTCTTTTCTTTTTACTGTATTTCTATTATTTTTATTCCAACTAAATAATATATATAATTATGCCGGATAATATTTGCTACTTGTTTTGCATGCTTACATGATCCGTGTCTTATACAAATTTTGTATGAGAAAAAAAAAAATAGGATTCTCAATTAAAAGTAAAATGTTATACGCAAAAAAAAAACGTAAAGAAGCTAAAAAAAAAAAAAGGCAATTACACAAAATATAAGCTTACTTTTGGCTCACGGTAATAAATCACCAGATGGGGAAACAGAGGATGCAGTAGAAACACGTGTTTATTTTGCTTCTTCCGACAGTGGAAGGTTCCAAAAGCTGTGATGATTGGCCAAGAATGAAGCTCAATTAAGAAGCTTTCATGTCATCCATGCCGACGTTTGCCTGCCAACATCAGCCAAAAGGTTTAAGGTTTTTTGCCAGAAAGAGCACGGAATCGCATCCATTGATGAACCCCAGAAGCTGTGTGTTCGTGTGCATTGCGCGATTACTGGTTTGATTTGTGCATAAAAGATACGAGTTTTTCAATGGCACTCACAGTACAAGCGATGTGCATTTATAACTTACCAGGAACTTATGGTTCTCTTGAAGAAGGGGGCCGAATTCAGAGCAGAACTTCTCCATGTCGGAGTTGATGTCTCCTGTGCCAGATATCACGTCCATGAACTTCTTCCTCTCTGGTGCAAGCTTCAATGCCACCTGAAGATCCGGTTTCCAGAATATATAAGATAAAATTAGCTCAAGTTCCAGAAAACGTTCGGCCATTATAGGATCTTATGAAGGATAGAAAGAGAGAGAGTTAGTACCGAGAAGCTTGAGCTGGCGAGCCATCCGTGCCATTTCTTGAGTGTCTTTTGGTATGAATCACCGCAAACTTGTGACATTGTCCAGTCTGGATGTGCAAGCAAGTTCCGGAACAGCTCCACTAAGAAATCCATCGCTCTGAACCAAAGCATATGTGAAATGACGGTGTCATTCATATCTTTTATCAAAATGATAGCAGGAAAGAAGGATCACATCTCACACCCGATTTCTTTTACCTTGTCAGCCACAGAAGACCATTGGTGCAACTAGACGATCCTTTGGCCGTCTTGGTCTCAATTTCCACTTGTACAAAGGTGTACAGGTACTTGAACTTGTCAGGGTCAGATTGGTATCTGTTCTCCAATCTCTGCAACGGAAAACCGGTAATGTTGTGAGTGAGAAAAATCAAGGCGATAACCCCGAACCTTCACAAAAATGCACAAGGATGGATGGTATTTGTGTCATCTACACGTAAGTTCAGATACCATCTCTACAATTGCAGGGCTAGCAGTTGATATATAGAAATGGCTACATGAGAATCACCGAGACAAGGAAAGCATTACACTTCAATTTGCGGTTTACTCTGTCAAAATTAAATGGATTTATTCTCTTACTATCTAAAGATCGAATGATGAGAACAAGGAGAGGATCCTCACCGTTATGTTACCACCGATATCAGATTTCACAAGAGCCATAGCAGCCCCAAACTTATCTGGAAAAGAAATATACGAAAGAGAACGAAATGGTGAAATAAGAGACAAGAAAATCTGTTGCACTAGAAGTGAGTTGTATGTATACTCATGCATAATTGCAACAGATCCAGAAATGCGGAATTCTAAATCTCAAAAGCTCAGCCAACCAAAATATATCTACGGCAGAGAACTAGCTGGAGGGGAATGAAAGATGACAAACAAAATCCACACGTTGAGAGCCGCAAAGAATGCTGAAACGTACGATCAAAGCAAATAGATAAACGAACAATCGCAGCCAAATTTTCCTTTCTTAGGAGATTAGGCGCGTAAAAGTGGTTATATGACTGAGAAAGTCACCAATGACAGGCAATATCATCTTGCAGAGCTCCAGAAAGGGCTTGGTCAGCATCTCCCCCTGTTCTGTCTTGACGTGCTTTATTGCTCCCAGACAAGGCGTGAACACACTCCCCTCCATTTTTTGCTTCACTGCTGGAATCGAAACAACAGAAGGCGCGAAAAAAGGAAAATAAAAATCCGACATTAATCTCAGATCTAAACACAATAAACATCAAGGATATTCGGTAGACAACGGATCCATGATATCTTACTCAAGTAGACAGATAGGATAGACAACACTATAAGAAACTCAAAAGGTAGCTCAATTTCTCATTTCAGACAGCCAAGGAACTTATTTTAACGACATTCCGGAAATTCCTGTTACTTATCAACCAAGGAACACAATCGGCTCCACAAATAAGCCCAAGATCTGAAACGGATACAGCAAGCAACGCCGAGAAGAATGCAATGAGAACAGCTCAAATAAAAAAGAAACTGTCATCTTGCAAGCAATATCCAGACAAAACATCAAATCATACAGAAGCTGACATAAATTTCATAGCAAATTAAAAACAAGCAAGTGCATCTGTACATGCAGCTATAGAATTTTCCAAATTCAGCCCAGATTACACCGAACCTCAGATCGAAATCACGATCCACATCAGAAACAAGAAAACCCCATCTATCAGATCGAAGAAGACACCAAACTCGACAAAATCTCATCAGATATCTCAACCGTTATGACATTGCATCGGGAAACAGGAGAAAAACTAAGACTTGAAAGCATTCGAGATCTGCCCATGTAGATACCGATTTACAAAAGGCGGTGGACGAGAGAGACGAAAGGCGGTGGAAAAAAATCGTACCTTTTTTTCCCGAGAACACAAGAGAAAGTTACAGGACGATCAGATTACAATAGCGAGATTGTTCTGCGCGCAAGTGAACCCAAGTTTTTTTTTTTCCTCTTTCTTTTCATCCATCATCTGATCTAACGGCTTTTGAAAATTAAAGAGATGTATTTTTGCATTCTACACCCAGTATTATAGAATTTTCATGATATTTGACCACATACATTTATGATTGATCTATTACACCCCGCTCAAAATTACAGCTAACGGTTTAACATCAATTTTAAATTCTTCAGGAACAAAAAAAATGAGTTTTTTTTCCTGAGTTTTCTAATGGTAGAAATTAGAAATTACTTAGGAAGGTCGGAACCGTTTATAAATGTTTGGGGCAAAATGAAAATAAAAGTAATATACAGACCCTGAACGGTAAATGCAACTTTATTCTTTCTAGGGTTACTCCGCCTTCGCCATATAAAGTCCACCGAAATTTTTCGCATGGTTTTCGCTCTACGAAGCCGAAGTAGCCACAGTCTCGAGCTTCACACGTTTAGGGTTTGTTCATCGACGAGAATCAACAATGGTCAGTTGCTCTCTCTGTCGCTCTCCCCGAGTCGCCGAATCCCGTCTCTTCGGGATGTGATTTGATTCGCTTGTTTCTGTTTATCTGTGTAGGTGTTCAAGAGGTACGTCGAGATCGGCGTGGTTATCGTTGATGTCGTCGATCAGAACAGAGTAAGCTATCGACTCTTGTTCTTGTCTGCTTGTGATTATTGTCGAGTGTGTTTGGCGTCCATCCTTGTCGGGTTGATGAGAAAACCTAAGATTTGAGATAGAAATGGATGAGAGTGTAGATAAAGACAGTACCATCGCGTAATTGTAGCATTTCCAGTTGTTTACATTTGTAATGACATTGAGTGAAGCTTTTAAGGTTCATTTGGGGATTGTGAATTGGAACGATTTGGGGATGAATGACTTGAGACAGATTGGGAAATGTATTATCTTAAATGAATTTGTATTTTGTAGATTCAGACTTGAAATATGGTAGGGAATACAATGAATCTGAGAATGTGCTATCTTTGAAATGAGTTTAAAGATGGGCACTAGCTTGATTGTCGTCCTGATTTGCTGGTTATTGATGATAGGCTCTTGTTGATGCCCCTGATATGGTGAGAACCCAAATGAACCTGAAGAGGCTCTCATTGACCGATATCAAAATCGAGATTAACCGTGTCCCGAGGAAGAAGTCTCTCATCGATGCCATGGAGAAGGCCGGTGAGAATAAATGCCTCTTTTTAACTTCCAAACAACAGATGCCACTCTTTGTTGTTCATCCAATCTGACTCCACTTGTTTCAATGGCAGATGTGAAGAACAAGTGGGAGAACAGCTCGTGGGGCAGAAAGCTGATCGTTCAGAAGAGAAGAGCCTCGCTCAACGACTTTGACAGGTTCAAGGTTATGTTGGCTAAGATCAAGGTAACAACAATCTCCGGAACTCGTCCTCGTGTTGTTTGTTCCGATTGGTATGAACCTCCGAAATGATAATGCCCTGATACATATGTACATCTGTGTTGAATGCAGAGAGCTGGATTGGTGAGGCAAGAACTCGCCAAGTTGAAGAAGGAAAGCTCATCATAAGCGCGTAGTGTTACTAAGAATTTCTGCCTCTTTCATTTTCTGGATTTTGATTTTCTGCTAAATTCCAGAGTTCATTGCATCTTATCTTACTCCCAACATTGTTATCTTTTGCATTTGGATTTTACGTTTTTTTCTTAATCTCCAACCGGTCTAGTCTGACAAAAAAATACAAAGTAAAACTGTTAACACCAAGAGAAAATTCAGGTAATGGTTTTTTAAACCGCCAGTCCTCTCCGGTTTAGGGAACTTAATCCTAAACCGGAGCCTGATTTGGCCATTTCAACAGTATCGGTTCAATCGGGTTCGGCAAAACTGTAACAGCACGAGGAAAATGGCACATCTCATTTGCAATGACAACAAACGGTTCAGTTTTCAATAACCTTAGTTTATTCTCAGACTTGGAAAGGGACAGGCGTTTGATAAAAGATAGAAGATTTAACTTAAAACTAGTACAATGGGATGGAGCGTTCTTCCGCGATCTTATCTTCGTTCTCACTTTGTTTTGTTCTTGAATGGTGACAGCAACGAAAAATGGCGAGAAGCTGCAACAGATTAGATCAACACATCATCAAACAACAAATATAGATGCAAAAGATCCGATAAGGCTACGTTTACACAGCCAAACTTCAAAAAATACAGTCTCCATACATGGAAAGACAGAACTTACACTTCTGTGATCCGGCTGCAGCTGCTGTTGGTGTTTCGTCTTGAGAAATGAGGTTCTTTAAAGTAAAAGCTGTTGACAACAACCAAGCACTTTTCTTATTCAGCATCAAGAGAAAGATAAAGGGGTCTACTAGTGTGTGGATGATATGGACCATGCTCTTATAGGATAATGCAAGGCCAGGCTAGCGAAAATGCACTGAATGTGATGAACTCTCCTCATCCAGGTGATGGCATTCACATCTCGCTAAACAAACTAGCATTTGCTCTTGAGACTGAGTCAATAAAGCATGAAGAAGTCATACCTTCACTGGATGTGGAAGTGTTTATGGCCGGCTCATTGTTGACAGCCACATTATCCGAGTCCATGCTGTTATTAGTCTTTCTTCCAAATTTCAGCAGTTTCCTCAGCCCTTTTGATGTGGACTCCTTCATTTGAGCCTTATCTGAAGAAGCCTCAGTTATCTTCTCTAACATCGCAGTTTTAGACTCTGGTACAAGAACTTTGACTGTCTCCTGCTCGGTCCCATTTATTGGTATGCTTGTGGGAGGGGCCCAAGAGTAGTTCCCAGTAGATGGGTCTTCCAGAGAAGAAACCCGGGCATAAGGAGCTTCATACGGTTTTCCAGCAATGCTTTGGCTCGTCGGAAACTTTGGTGTTTCTGTAACCATGTCACTCAAGTTCTCTAATCTAACCTGATGGCAGGAATACAAATCTTGAACACATCAGAAAGTGACAATAAAGTTTACAACTGCATCAGCCAAGATCAGGTAGAATGCATTTTTCACCTACAGTGTCACTCTCTAACAAGAAAAGGAACTAAATTCAAAGATTGCCATTTTGGGAGTGCTGTAAAGCTTTAGAAGCTAATATTTACACAAGAAGCATCATAGGAAGGGTGCTTACTAGGACTATATCATTGGCATTGGCATTATCATGTGTTGCTTCCATAGGCTCCTTATCAATTCCCACAGAAGGAATAGAGGCAGGGAAGCTGTC